GCAAGGATAGACCCAAGTCTCATCCCTCCTACAGGGGTCCTGCCCCCACCCCCTCGCCAGTCTCATGGTGTAGGGGTTGGGGGACCAGAGCCCAGGCACTTCTCCAGAGTAGCTTGGCTCTCGTCCCGACTGGGATTGCCCTTCCTGGAGGCCAGATGGTGCTCAGAGACCATGACCCTGTTTGGGGCTAGCAGACAGTCTCGGCAAAGCTCCCTCCGCAAAGCCACTCGCCTGACTCACTTCCTTTCCTGTCTCTAGCCTTCAATCCAGGTCCGGGGGACAAGGGAAGTCAATCTAGGGCCAATTTTCCTCCTCAAAGGTCAAAGCCTTCCAGCACCAGATTCAATGTCTCCAGGATGGAGGGAAGAGACTCCAAGGGTCCCTGACCTGGCAGGTGAGACTAGATCCCTGAGAGGAGCAGGTGAGCTTTGGTACCCCGTAGGCTAAGGAGTGCCCACTTCCCACCCATCTGCCTACCTCAGGGGCCCTGCCATTTCCAGCTTCCTCACAGCTTTGCATGTCACTGTCTTCATTTGAGAGCCAAACACATGAAATATGGTCCTTGTCCATTAAGCACACCTGCTACCTACTCATACTGGGACACCCTGATACCCTAGAGCCCTTAAGTTTGGAAGGCCTCCATCATGGTCTTGGCCTCCAAGCCTAGGCTCATCCTCCCAGAATCATCACTGTACAATCCCACACTTAAAGGAGGCCCCAGAGCCTACCTAAGACTGGCTAGAGCTCAGAGAGGGTGAATGACCTGCCAAAAGGCACACAGCTAATGGACAACAGAATTGGTCCTTGCTAGAGCACAGGAGGATACACAAGGAGATGGGCTTCCAAGAGACCAGGGTTTATGCCTCTCTAGGGTGGGTACACAGCAAAGGCAACAGTGAAGGCACCTTCCCTTACTGTGTGAGTCTGACCACTGGGGGACCCATGGGCCTGGAACAAGAGCTGTCACTAAGAAAATTGATGTCTGGTGAGAGAGCTGAGGAAAGAGGAGTCTGGAAATCTTAGAGGAGGAACCAACAAATCCCCATTGGGAACTTACTACTTATTAGGCAGTCAGTGCTATTTTTTTTTTTTTTTGGTACTGGTGATTGAACTCTGGGGCACTAGACCAATGAGCCACATCCCCAGCCTATTTGGTATTTTATTTAGAGACAGGGTCTCATTGAGTTGCTTAGTGCCTTGCTTTTGCTGAGGCTGGCTTTGAACTCTTGATCCACCTGGCTCAGCCTCCAAAGCGGCTGAGATTACAGGTGTGTGTCACCATGCCTGGCTTTTGGACAGTTTTTATGGTCACGATCTTTGGATTTCTTAGTTTCCTGGGGTTATATGATTAGTTCTGCATATTGGCTGGTACCTCCTGAGAGCAAATAGTCCTGGGTCCCTCCACCATGTACTTGCCTCACCCCTGGGTACTGTCCAACTTCTATTGCTCAGTTCAGAGTAAACTTGCAAGAAAGGGACAGCAGATCAGAGTAAAAGTTCACAATGACCTCCTTTGCTCTAGAGCTATTTCAGCCTTCACGAGTTGTGGGTTAGTTTGATCACACAAAATACCCTTTTTTATTAAAAATTTTTTGATGCTAGAGATGGAAACCAGGGCCTCACACGTGCTAGGCAAGCTCTCTACCACGGGGCTACACCCATCTCTTTTTTGTTTTTATTTGAGATAGGGTCTCACTGAGTTGTCTAGGCTGGCCTGGAACTTGGGATCCCCCTGACTTAACCTCCCAAGTAGCTGGGACTGAGATGAGAGCCTTAGAGGAAGTACCTGTAGCAACAAGAAGTTCAGGGCCCAGTGGGGGCCAGGGACTCAAAGGTGTGTGCTACCACACCCAGCATACAATTCATTCTTTTGGAATTTATTTCCACACAAACTCCCAAGGCATGCTCAGAGATGTTGGTAACCTGCTGTGAGGCCAGGGGTGGTGGGTGGGCAGGGGCAGAGGGAGGAGAGAGAAACAGATATTAAAAAGAAATAGAGAAATCATGTATGCAGCGTGTGTGATATGTGTGTGTCCAGATGTTTGTGCGTATGTCCAGGGTATCATGGATGTTCCCCAGTCTCCTACCCTCAGAGCAGGCTGGGGCTGAAGCTGATGGGTTTAGCCAGGATCAGTCTCCTGACCCCAGTAACAGCTGAAATAGGACCCTCTGCCCCAACAGCCCAAGAGCCATTTTCTTGTAGGTTTCCAAAGTCTCTTACATTACCTATGACCTCATTTCTCTTTGTCCTCCCCCCTCTTCCAAGGAATACCAGGACCTGCCAGCCACAAGAGAGTTTCTTGATTCTCAGAATCATTTCTCATTCCCTATCTCACTGGATCCCCACAAAAATCTTGCAAGGTGAGCAGATGGTGAATTATTTCCCCATTTCACAGGTAAGAAAGCAAAGCTCTGAGGATAAGCTAGTGAAAGGTTTGGCAGAGTAAACAAGTAGGGCCTGAACACCCCACTCCTCTTGCCTGTCCCTTCCAGTTCTGATACTTCCTCGCTGTCCTGAACCATTTCCCACTAGGTGGGTCCCCTCAGCCCCTAAGCTTCAAGGGTAGGTACATCTGAATGATACGCCATGCAAATGAGATGCAAAATAGCATGCCACAAATGAGTATCCCAGAGTTTTTGGGTAATAGCTATAGCTGAGGCTCCAACCTCTTGGCCTGAGACCCTTCCTCGTCTCTACTCTGCAGACCTCACCCACCCCCAGACACCAGCCACACTAGGCACAGCAAGGAACAGCTTCCAGGAGCAAGGAGATCACATGATAGATGGAGGATGTTTTCAGATTGGAATGTGCACGGAAGTAGTTCCTTATCATTTAAGGTAATCAAGCAGAGACCTTGTAAGGGAGTCATAATGTCACTCCTGCTAGGTCTGAGATGAGACCCTTAGGGAAAGTACCTGTAGCAACAAGAAGAAATTCAGGGCCCAGGGGGGCCAGGGGCTCAAAGGTGTACGGTCAGGCAGTGGCAAGATTGGCAGACACCATACCCCAGTACCTAGATTGTAACTGATTGTGGTGTAACCTTTCTCCTTCTACCGTGAGAGACTGGGCTAGTGGCTTCAGGCTCTCAAGCCCTGACACTCTCAGATTCTACAATAGATTGAGTGCAAGGGTGGAGACAAAGGGTGTTTAAACTTTGTGTAGGAAGGGAGTCCTGAGTTTCCCAGCTCCAGACTTCATGAGGATTGCCTCTGTACAGTTCTAAGCACTTGGGGTTTCACTGTTATCCAGGAATAAGAGGACCATGCATCTAAGGCTTGGGTACAACATCTGCCTGGTCACTCTGGCACCATGACAGAGCTATGATCACACCAGCCATGGGGTCCTGAGCAAGAAGGGTAGTGGCAGAGATGTTTTATCATCTTGGTTAGCCCTTCAGTGACCCAGAGAAAAAGAGAAATTCTCAAAGACATTTTACAGGTACTCCATTGCTCCAAGCTTAGAAAAAACTCATGTGTAATAGCTGGAACGTGGTGCACATGCCTGTGACCCCAACTACTCGGGAGACTGAAGTAGGAGGATGACAGGTTCAAGGCTGCCTGGGCTACTTATCAAGATCCTGTCTCAAAATAAAAAATAAAAACGTCTGGGGGTTGTAAATCAGTGGTAATGTGCCACTGGACTCAATCCCCAGTACTAAAAAAAAAAAAAAAAATCTGTGTAATGCCTTCGATCCATCCAAAATTTTAAATACCATCCTAAGACACCTTAAATAACAAACCAGAATGTGGTTCCTGATGTGTGTGCATGTGTGCCCACGCACACACACACACTAATGCATACACAGGTATATAGCACATACTTAGGAATAACATCCCACCATCACCCCTAGCACACAAACATAGGCACACATGTGTGTGTACACACTAGGCATATACGTACATATACGCAAAATGGGAAAAAGACACATTGGGATTCTGAGTCTGGATTTGAGACTATCCTATGCTAGTCAACCCCGGGATGACCACAGATAGGCCACTTTACTCTGAGCTCCATCTCTGGAACGGAGACCACATCTCCCACTTGCCTCAACTGGTGGGAGAGATCTTAGGCAGTTACACCTAATGTACCCAAACTGTGCTAGGTGGCATGGGTCAACAGCCTAGGCGTCTTTGAAAGGAAAGTCACCAAAGGCCTCCTTTGTTGTCCCAATACTGCCTTCATGGAACTGGGTGACTTCTGGGCCCTTTGCCTCCATTTGTCAAAGGAGAGTATTGGACTTCAGGAATCCTGGTGTCCTGCACCTGTAAAGGCCTATCTCCAGAGTGGGGTCTGCTTCTCTCTTCTGAGTCCAGAGTGGGAAGGATGGTCTGCTCACCGACCTGCAGCCAGGTGGCTTTTGCCCAGAGATATTGTGGCAGGAACTCTTGCCAAAAAGGATGGGGCTCTGCAGGGCCAGGCTTCTAAAATACCTGGTTGACCAAGGGCTCTGGATGCCCTGGGATCCCAGTGCAGAGGTGCAGGGTGGCCAATTAAACTCTAGTTAATTGATCAGGGGCTGGAGGGTTTACCAGGAAGGTGGCTAAGAGCAAAATGTTCATTCTGCAGGATGGGGTCAACCGACAGAGAGGCTGGGGCCAGCAGGCAGGTGGGGGCACTTCCTGATCCCTGGGGTGCCTCACACTGTGCCTGTCCTTCAGGCTGCTGGGAAGGGGAGAACAGGGCAAGCCTCAGGTTTTGATGTTGGTGGGACCTGGCTGTGGGCAGTGTGGCCAGACACTGTGGAGTTCCCTAGTTTCAGGTTCCACGAGGGCCACCTCTGTACAGTTCTAAGCATTCGGGGTCTCAGTGGCACCCAGGAACAAGGGGGCCCATCGACGCTCCATTCTTGGCGCCTCGTCGCCCCCTCCCGGGCGCCCAAGCCATCTTAGGGCTGGCCCGTAAACTGCCAGTCCCTGGACATCTGCCAATCTCTGCGTTAAGACAGGAAAAGGGGACCTGGAGGCCCCCTCCACAGCGGCCCCTGAGCCCCGCGCCTTACCCAGAACTTGGAGCCAAGCTCCCCTGAGCCGCACAGGCTGTCCATGGGGCCGAGGCGCAGCGGCGAGAGGGCAACCGCGGTCCGGTGCAGCCCGGTGCAGAGAGGCGCAGAGCAGGCTCTGGGAGCCGCCCCCGCTGCGCACTCCACGGAGACCCGCCCAGCCGAGCCCTAACCTGGGCGGTCCGGATCCTGCTCTTCAGTCCCTGCCGATTGCGATTGCGAAAGCGCCTCCACGAAATCGAAATCGCAACTCTCCCGGGACTATAGGGGCAGGAATGGAAAGTCGTGGACACAGTGACAGCCCCTTCCAGTGGCCCCAGAGTTGTGCCAGAGTTGCTCCTCTAGATCCTGAGGCTGACGGGCCCACAGCAGAGTTTGTTTCCAACCAGGGTCAGGGGACCAGAGCACACACATGCCTCCCACCCTGAACACTCCGTGGGGGCTGATGAACCAGGGAGACTTGGAGAGGGATTCAGCAACCCTCCCTCTTTAAAAGAAATTCTTCATAAGGTCAAGTTCTTCTCTGGATGTCAGTTTCCTCATCTGGAAAATGGGAAGAGCTTGTGGGCTCAGACAGTGGAAGGTTACCCCTTCCCCCCAAGTTAACAGAGACAACTGGTAGACACCAATACACCAGTACTGGTGTGTGCAGTGAGGGAGGTGGGGATGGGATTGGAGTTTCCACCATGGTCTAGATCGTGGCCTCCTGTGATTCCCTTAAATTGCTGCTTCCTGAGGCTCTGTGGCTCCCTGGTCTGGCCCAGAGTTTCTCTGTGCCTCCCCTTTTGTGTCTGTAAAATGCTGATAATCATAGCAGAATCCTCTTCATTGGGTTCTCTGAGAATTCAATGGTAGAAGTATGCAAAGCACTTTGTTTGACACAGTTAGGCACCAAATGTGTTCATTTCTTCTTTCAGCCTGGTGTCGGGGTGCAGGCTGGACAGGTAAAGCCCCAGAAGATCCCTATATCAGTACCCCCTTCCTAAGGCAGAGACTCCGCATTTCCCATTTGTAAAATGGACTTGGGGGCTGGGGATGTGGCTCAAGCGGTAGCGCGCTCACCTGGCATGCGTGCGGCCCGGGTTCGATCCTCAGCACCACATACAAACAAAGATGTTGTGTCTGCCGAAAACTAAAAAATAAACACTAAAAATTTCTCTCTCTCTCTCTCTCTCTCTCTCTCTCACTCACTCTTTCTTTGAAAAAAAAATGGACTTGGGGTCAGTGGCCTGTCTCCACTTGGTTATGCCAGGATCCCTCCATCTCTCACTTCTCCAGTCACACTTTGTCCCCTAACAGGGTCCCAGAAGCCACTCACCACCCCTTCTTGAGGGTTGAGGAGGAATTCTCCTGGGCAGCTCTTTCCCTGGCTCATCTCTCCCCTGGCCCTGCCTGCCACCTCTGCCCAGTTTCCCCTTGGGGTCCCTTCCTTGGCACTTGTTCTCAGAACAAGGTTTCTCCTTCCTTGACTGCCAAGCAGAAGGTGTGGAAGGGAGTCAGCAAGATAGCGGGGAAGTGGCCAGCAGGAAGTCACCAGAAGGGAAGGCTGTCAGAACAGAGCTCGGCAGGCTCCGGTATGGGTGGTAAGGCTGGGAACGAGGCTCTCCCTCCCCAGGCAGTTGGACTGGGGACCCTCCACTGAGAAAGACCTCTCAGCCCTCTTTCTGTCTGTCCCCTTCCCTTGCACTCATCTATTTATGCCCACCCTTTCCTTCCTCCTTTCCCTGGGTAAAACACTTCACAGAGCTTCCACATCTTGTCACAGTGTGCCTTGAGTTATATTTAGTTGAGAAGAATCTGTCTTCCCTGCCAGTCTGAGAGGTCCCCAAGGGCAGAGACCTACTGAGTCACCTTCAACCCCCTTCATGCCTCAAGCAGTACCATTTGAAAACTTTGTGACCTCAGCAAGCTCCTTGATGTCTCTGGGACCCAGTTTTTTTGAGCAGCTTGGACAAGGAAGGGGCCACTAAACTCTCCTCCAGCCCCAGTGTTCCAGCCTTCTATGGCCTGAGCTGCTGGGACGCTCCTGCTAGGTCTTCTGCTGATGCTCTTGTGCTTTCTCAGCACCTTCTGCCCCTGTCTTTTTTCCTTGGCCTCTCCACCACCATCTTGGGCTCTCCCTTCCTCTCCTTTCCTCCTCTTAGGCTTGTGGGGCCACGGGCATCAGATAAACCAGGAAGGTTAACTTTACCCTTGGGAGAGTTGGGGACCTTCCCTCAGGGCACTTCAGGAGGTGAACTCCCCAAGAAGACTCCCTTCCTGACATGTGGAACCTGGAACCAGACTGGTTCCACCTGGGACCTTCTGGCCCCAAGATAGGCCAGGCAGTCTACTGGTTAGAGCTTCAGTTTGGGGTGGAGACCCTTTGGTTCTGGCTTCTGCACTGGGGCTAACGTATCCGCCCTTTTGGCCCTAGGCTTTCATCTTGCCATTGCTGCAGCCCTGGGTGGGAGACTCTTAAGATCAAGGTGGGTGCCCCTGGCAACCCTTGCCTCCCCCCATCTCTCTAAAGCATTAGGGTTCAGCCTTCATAGCTGCTCATGGAATGTGGCCCTTTCACACAGCCTTTGAATCATAAGCAAAGTGTTTTAAGGATGCCATTGTTTTGGTTGTTCTTCTCGCCAGTGAAACACTCAGAGGCCTTGAGACACCCCGCAGCTTGCCCAGGGTCACAGAGTCCATCCTGGCACAGGCAGGAGAAGCCCCCACCTTCTGAATGCCAGCCGCAGCTCCTAGGTCACACTGTACTTCCCGTACTCTCGGCTCTTGCCCCGGCCAACCTTCAAGGCTGCTCAGCATGTTCTCCACACAGCCCACCTTCCTCCTGTACATGGTAAACTCTCCTTATCCCTCAAGATTTCACGCAAGACCCTCCACCCTTCCAGAAGCCTTCTTTGGACCTCCCCATCCCATCCCTTCTTCCACACATCCCACCCCACTCTCTATATTGTATTTACTGATGGTCTGGCTTAGCCTCCACCAGTGCTGTGCGCAGGTTGAGAACAGGGTCTGAGAGGCCGTAGTAAACCCACCTCCCATTCTCCCTCCCCAAGTCACTGCAGCTCCAGGCTAAACGAGCTGACAGAGTGCTGTAGTTCCCTCAGCAGTGAGTGTCCTGGGAGACTCAGCACCGGGGATTTCCTGGCAAGGAGATGGCGAGATAACCTCATGGCAAGGCACAGCCCAGAGCAGGCATGACAGCAGAGAAAGCAAGGGAAGGCCCAGGCCCAGGAAAGTCTGCCTCAGGGAAGTCAGGTTGGAGCTGACAGGCCAGGGGCAGCAGGACGGAGCAAACCCCTGTCCACTTCACTGCCTGCTTCTCCTTAACTCCCTTCGTCCCTTGAAGGCCTGGAGCACCCCTAAATTAAGCATAGGCTCTCATACCTGCCTCCCACTTCTTTCCCCCCAAGTGATGAGGTCTGTTTCCTTCAGACCCCAGCCTGGCAGGGGCCCCGCTGGACCACTCAGGGCCTCAGCAAGGCTGCCCCTCCATCCAGCCTGCTCCTGACCTGATTTGGCATGCATGTGCGATCACTGGCTGCTGCGCCTGATTCTGGAGTTTTCAAAGCAAGAATTAATGAGCTCCGTGGGCAAAAGCCAGCAGCTCCCACACCTGGACCAGGGCGAAGGCGTGCAGAATTTCAGCGTTCTTAGCAGAGTTCCCTCCTGGGGTTTCCTGGAGCAGCCACCTCCTTGACCTGCCCTGCTCTGCCCCTCCTCCCCTGAGTAGGAAGCCCATGCACAACTCAACCTGCTTTGAGAACTATTTCTACTCCTGGCCATCACTGTCCTGGATTAGTCCTGAGTCCACCAGCCTTAGACAGGGATTGAATATCTGGACTCTGTCCTAGGATGGCCAGGATTCCTATCTGAACCCCCACCCCTACCCCAAGTCCTTCACTGGGCTCTGGGAGTCTGTTTCCTTCTTTGGGGAGTTTTACAGAACACCTGTCCATACAAGGTGTCCATCACTGTTGTAATCCTCTCCCTGGCTTGGTCCCTCTTCAGGAGGGGCACTGGGTGGCACCAGGTGAGGGTGCCTTGTGCTGCCACCTGGCGTCTGATGCCCTCACTGCACTTCTGTCACAACAACCCGCAGTTAGGGCTGCTTCCTTGGCCCAGTGAAAGGGAAAGGGGGCCATGGGGCACCAGGATGTGGTGGGTGGGGACCAGGGGTGAAGATGGAGGTAAGGGATGTTTAAAAAGTGGGTGAGGCCTGGGTGGGGCAGGGCTAGAGGGCAGGAAAGAAAAGAAGGTGGGAGGGGAGGAGGAGAGCAGGTGCCTTGGACTTCAGGGCAGAACTGCCGGGGAAGGGTGGTGCCTGGGAATCTGCAGGGATTGCAGAACAGCCTTGGCCAGCTGTTGGACAAACAGCTGGGGCTAAGGGACCCCTCACCCTGTGATCCAAACCCTTCTCCATTGCCCACTGTGGCCAAAGGCTGGTGGGAGCTGTGGGGCCCACTGTCTCTGAGCATGCCACCCTGGGAACCCACATGTACCTTTCTATGAACCTGAATGTGACTGCTTTGGAAAAGGGTGCCCTTGCTGACTTGTACACCCCTTCGTTTTATAAGCACAGTTCTTCCCTTCAGCCTGTTTTCTCCACAATGAGAACAGTCTGGGCTGGCATGGGTTGCAGGTTGGTCCAATCCCAATTCTGCCATTTCATGGATGTGTGACCTTGGGCAAGTCTCTTAACCTCTCTGAACCCACTGTTGCATGGAAAATGCTAGCAACAGCACTTCCCTTGCTGGGGTGTTTTGAGGAGCGAGTGAGAGACTGCATATGAGCCTCAGGTTTGTTTTTAGCACCAGCTCAGCTCACTCCTCTTCCCAGTCCCCCACCCCCAGACAGACCTTTTCCTGGAGCTTTGGGGGTGGAGGAAGCAAAAGCAGCCAGGCTTGAGGTGGGGGCCTGAAGCTGTTGACACAGTTTCCTGTGAACCTCCAAGAGAAGACTTGAGGGCACAAGCACCAGGGAGATGTTCTTGTCTCCAAAAGCACCCCTCCCCATCACTCAAGTCTGTAGGCAGGGACTCCTCTTGGTGGCCCTAATTGAAGATGTGTTGTCCC